ATTGTTTAATTTGAAGTTGTGGAGATTTTAGAGGACCCTTTGCAAAATGGAAATGGTAAATGAGTTAGGAACAGGGTGACCTTTGATAATTTTTTATTAATATCCGTTTATTAGTTTTAGAATAAACACAACATTTTCCTTAAATAATTGAGAGTGTATTTACTCGTAGGTATGGGATGACGAATTAGCCAACGTCGCTCAAAGATGGGCCGATCGTTGCGCAGAGTTCCACGACAGTTTCCGACATGTCCGTAAGTGAAACCTCATTTCCGTAAAATATTATAGAAAAGATTATTCTTTAGAGCAAGAAGCCAATAACATACAGAATCTGCAAACTTAATTTACTCATTTTCAATATTTTACACTAAACATACAACAAATATAACACAACAAAATACAAAACACTATAAATACTAATCACACTACTTTGCAATTCCAATTTTCTCTACTAAAAAATCAGAAAAATCAGGCTAACAAATATAATCACACTACTTTACAATTCCAATTCTCTCTACTAAAAAATCAGAAAAATCAAACTAACAAATATAATCATACTATCTTGCAATTTCAATATTCCCCACTGAGAAAAGAGAAACTTTGAACAACAGTTTGTCCATGATTTTACCATAGAAAGATTTCCAGTGGGCCAGAACAGTGCCAGAACCTGGACAACAAGATCACCGGGGCCGTACGACGATCAACCTGAGTGGAGGCAACGAATATCTGATTGGTTCAAGGAGGTACAGCACTATCGTTCCGGATACAGCGACGAAACCGGTCACTATACACAGGTAAGCAACGTTCCCAGCCAGTCGAGAGGGAATATTCAGAGCAGTATCTTCCGGGTAATCGAGTTTAACTCGGTGGCTGAGCAACCCCTTGAATTACTTGCAGCTCGTCTGGGCTGACACGTTCCTATTGGGCTGCGGGTACTCGTTCTACTACGACCCGGCGCGTGGATACATGAAGAACTATGTCTGCAACTATGGGCCCAGGTAAATTAAATATATATATTTTTTTTCACTTAACTAGGCTTAGAAAAATTTTTTTAATTTTGAGACGGGTTTTGGAGGGGTTGTGGGAATGTGAAGTAGGTAATAGTTGAATGACAATATTATGGTAATTATAGTAATTTTATAGAATGATAATAACTATTATATATTTTTTTTCACTTAACTAGGCTTAGAAAAATTTTTTAAATTTTGAGACGGGTTTTGGAGGGGTTGTGGGGAATGTGAAGTAGGTAATAGTTAAATAACAATATTATTATGATAATAGTAATTTTTTATAACGATGATAATAAATAATAATAACTATACGTAGGTGATTCTAGTGTTAACACTATAACTACCGAGTATTTAATACGAAATTAATGTAATCCTTACAAAACTCGTAACAATAGATTATTTTCAGTTTCTTCGGACATTCGTTATAGTACTTAAATAAAACCATTTTTCAATCATTTCGAATATTCAATGCTTCGAAGATATACCAATAATCGCGAAATAAACAAATCGGAACCAGTCAGTTTGACTGGAACGGCAGTTCTAGTGTTAAATACATGATCGTCTGGCAGAAGTAAAGGATGGGAAACGAGGGAAATCTGCGGCGCGATATTTCAACTTTTCGACGTGTTCCCAGCAGCCGAGGAAAAAGAAAACAGAATGCAACGTGCATTGAATCCAGCCGTAGCTTCCATAAATTTCCCCCGTTTCTCGAGTATTTCCTGTCAATCGGTAGCTTATTACTGTCGACAAATTGAACGCGTCGTCGGCGTCGTCGTCTGCAGGCTGCCGCCATTTTCCCATCCCGGAAGCCAAAAGAAAAACCTCCGACCTCGCCACGAAGAATATTTATTTCTGAACTCCTATCAGACATACCCGTAAATAACAATAAAATAACGAACAACGAAATAATCATGTGAAATTCACAATTCAGAATTCGACGCAATTATCATTTAACCCTTTACGAAGATTCTTTGAAATCTACAAAACCTTCAACAGATGAAGCTAAATTACACATCAATTGCTTAAACAATAGAAACAACAGAAACTACATGTTAATCCCTTTCTGTTCGAGTAATTAAATCATTTGTCTGCTAATTAGTCTTCCAAATCTAAAGGGTTAATACGAATCATTTTCCGCCATTATTGAGTTTCAAACTTATCATTGAATCCATATACTTCCATTGTTTCCATATTCATATTTTCACTTAATCCATTGATTAAGTGAAATTAAAATTAAACAATGATTTCGACTCGTTAATTCTTTAGGAAACATGAAATGTAACGATGAAACTTTCGGCGTGGCGCGAAGTACAAAGTTTTAGTAATAGTGTAATAAGAATGGAATAGTCTTGTAAAACGGCCGAGAACCGGAAGTAGAAGTAAGAGGTTAGGCGCTGGTTACTTCGTGATTTACGGGGGCATTTTTGTCGGCGGAAAGTTTCGTCCTCCGTCGAACGTAAATCATCCGAACGGTTCGGTTTGAGGTTATGTTTTCGTTGTTGTGCAGCGGCAACGTGCTCGGCTACCAGCCGTACCACTTGGGCGAGCCTGCTTGCGGCAGCCACGGGATGTCTTATTCGAATCGATACGCCGGACTTTGCGGTAAGTTTCGTTCAACAACGATTTTCCGTTCGGTTCTGAACGACTTTATAGTTTATTCGAATCGAAAGGAAACATAATCTCTCTATAGATGTTCATTGGTAACATTTATCGCCCAGAGCTTAGTACAATGAAATAGAATTCAAAGGAGATTCAAATTTAACAAAATATTAGAATCTAATTTCTATAAACATTAATTGATCGTTTAACCCTTTGCACTCGAGAGGTGACTCTCAGTCACCACCCGATTTGATGAAGTGAAATTATCAAATTTGATATTTAATATTGGACCGTGTATAATGCATCAGTGCGTGAAATATTGGAATAAAAGAGCTTTGTTTCTCAATTTACTTGTGATTTCTCTTTGAGTTAATTTCAAAAAATTTCATCTTCTAGTTAAAATATTAACCCTTTGAACTCTGTAAGCTATTGCATCAGTTATAATATTAAATGTTTTAATGAATCTTAAAGAAGCTACCCTAAAATTATTCAATTTTCACATCCAAATTTTGTACTAACAAGGAAAATAAAAGGTCGAAGAAATGTTATAACATTTCTAATTTTCGTTAGGAATACTATAAAAATTATTTGCAGTTGCTGATAGAGTACAAAACAACCTGGAGTGCTAAAGGTTAAAATCTAATTTCTATAAATATTAATTGATAATTTAAAATATTAAGTTGATAATTGAAAATTTTAAATATTATATTTTACCATAGTTGTTAATATTCTAGAGTTTATGTTTCCTTACATTCCCACGAATTAAGTTTCTGTAACAGGAAGTTACATAAATTGCAATGTTTTTCTTCAGCTCACGGCAGTTACTACCACTTGGGTGCGTATTGCACGTACGGCTAAGAAGATCTGGAAGATGAAACGTCTAAGAGAGAACTCGACGATCAAAGAAGAAATCGGAGAAATCGTCGAGCTTGATAGAACTCGTCGCCATTTTGTAATCGTCATCAGGTCGGACACAGTGTTTCTCAAACAGCTCCCTAAAAAGAATTGTTCCTGTTCCAAATATTTTTAGAAATTTTCTCCTTCAAGCATACTCCAAAAATCCTATTAATATCCTATAATCCTAAAGAAACTACTGTTTTATATCTGTAGTCAGTTCGACGATCCACAGTTTGAGAGACACTGGTCCGGCTAACCTTTTCTAGTCTGCAAAAGATAGTCTGCGCATCGTAGCGCGTAGTTACCTAACGGAAAGTTAAGAAAGCCGAGTGAATAAGTTAACGGTAACGACGTTGGTAAAAATGAAGCGGCAGCAACGGTGTAATCTGGTTGCCACGGGATGAACGGGAGTTGTGCAACATGGTGGTAGGCTATCGCACACCATGCGCCATGCATTTCTCATCGCGTCCCTTACGTGACCCACTCCCGTATAAATATTTAAGCGACGGGGAAGATACGGCGCACGCTTTATTTCCCTGCCAGCCTCGCGCGATGATGATTATACTCGGTCGCGAGCTGTTCCAATTAATGCCAGCCCTACCGGGAACCGGCCATCATTGAATTGTAATTACGGGACGCGATACGAGCAGTGTCGAACGACACATATATAATAGAGTGTGAAACATTTGTTCGCAAGAGTATGTAAATAGAACTTAGATGCTTATGATCTTACGGATGTATAATAAGTTTGATAACAGTGTGTAACATTGAAAATAAAGGTTTCTATAAATACGTAGAGCAGAAGTTATTTCAAGGACTTTGACAGGACGCGCCACCCGTAGCGAAATGCTAGACCAGTAGGTAAATATACTCGTAATGGGTACGACAGGACTCAAGAGGGCGAGAAGAAGAAACATAAAAAGCAGAAATGTTGAATCTAGGATTGTGTGTTTGGTTTTTAGAATTAGGAATAGAGTTAAGTGTTATAAAGTGTTATAAAAGTGTTATATATAAGTTAGAGTTAACAATGTATAAAAATACAAATGATATAATTAATTGTTCATTGTCAGATATTTAAAAATATATAACTGATGACAGAGAATAATAGTGTTCGATCTGTTACAAAATTATTAAGGTAATATTTAAAGGAATAATTTTAAAACTCCCGCTCCCCGAGTATTAGTGGTGCCACCTACGAAGTGAATGCTGAAACTTGTAGTTGAATAGTATATGTTTGTCTCCGATAGATGGCGCGACTGAATAACTTGTCTCCGCTACTCATACGTCTAAGCCTACCCTTGTCATTCTTTATAATACACTGGTACTGGCAACTTCTATGAGACCGCTCAAACTTCTAGCCAAATAGTATCAGATCGATACCGTCAGGGGACACCACCAAATCAATTAACCCTGTCCTCCTCATTCCAATATAGCCATTCCTTACAGAAGTTTGAGAGCTCTTACATTAAGAGGCGAGACTTCTCCGAGAACAGTAAGGACAAGCTACCGTCATCTTCCGACCATTACGAGGGTCAATAACGGGTATTCGAAAGGTTTCTCCCATTCCGCAAAAGCTCGCAAGCTCTCCTGCCACGAGGCTCAAACGAAAATAGCCTCAAATCTGAAGTCCTCAGATCTTTTACTTTCCCAAAAATGACTCAAAAGCTCTAATGCCACAAGACTAGAACTAAAAAGCACAACATTTAACTCTCCCGGGCATCGAGCACCCAAAATGGCTCGAAAGCTCCAAAATCGCGAGGTCGAACTAAAAAGCTACAAACATTAAACTCTGCATAGCATTAAGCCATCATAAAACTGGCTCAAAAGCTCTAACACCTCCTGCTCAAACTAAAAAAGTTGAATATTTAACTCGCTAGGAAATTAAGCTCTCTCAAAAACGGGGGAAATTGAAGAGACATAAATGATTCGCCTGAAAATTGGCGCCACGAAATTGTTTTCGGATACCTCTTTGAATATCATGTTCTCCTAGTAAGAAACTCGGATTTTCAGGTTCCGTTTCAAATTTCGCGCGTCTAGAATGTTTACGTGTTTCGAATACCTCTTTTAGCATCATGTTCTCCTAATACAAAACTCAGATTTTCGTGTTCCATTTCAAATTTTACGGCTTGGAGAGACATTTTACTAGGAGAATATGATAGTAAAGGAGGTATCCGAAAAATGTACACAAACCAAAAGGCGGGAAATTTCCAGCGGATCTCGAAATCTGAGTTTCTTACTAGGAGAACATGATATCAAAGGAGGTATCCGAAAAATGTAAACAAACCAAAAGGCGGGAAATTTCTAGCGGATCTCGAAATCTGAGTTTTGTATTAGGAGAACATGATGTTAAAAGAGGTATCCGAAAAACGTAAACAAACCAAAAGG